CCCCAAAACCCCAAAACCCCAAAACCCCATGAAACCAGATTGGTAAAAGAGAGGAAATTAATTTGGATAATTTCATTTCATAATTCTATTATTTTATATTAAGGTTTAATAATATTCAGCTCATAACCTACGAGCCTCTCAAAATGTGATGAAGAAGGGTTTTTAATGAAACTCAAATGAATTGAGGGGATTAATTTTCATCTCTTGAGCTTCCAGATTCCCCTTCAACCTCATTGATGGTATATATAAACTACGTTTATGCCAAGGAGATATTCAGTAGATTTTCTGCTCTATGTCTTATGTATTCAGTATCGATGGAGTCGATTCCGGATTGTGACATATCATCCTCGTGGTCATGCCCAAATGAGTAATGAGAGCTGTAGATTGAAGCGTTTTCAAAGTTCTAGACTGGCTGAGTAAACTCAACAGTATGGAAAAATTCAAGTTCAATATATCTGCCACAGAATTGCTTGGAACCTTCTGCTGGAGTGTTAAAAATTTCAAGTAGGCCCTCGAAATAGAAGGAATTTTTATCTGAGTTTTGTTTTCCCTATTCTGATTCCAATAAAGAAATCTTCTGTTTTTTAATTTACTCTTCTACTAGTGCTCTCTTTTAAGCTTCAATACTATTAAAGATAAATTAATTGTAAAATTACTAGATAATATATCTGGTGATAACATTCTAGTAAGAGTAGTTAAGAAGTTTTTGAAAAGGCCTTAATGCACTAATTTGTCTCTGCCTGGTCACTACATGCATTCTAGCCTGACCTTAACCTTGCTGAGAGGTATGACTAGAGTTTTGTTGCTATATATTTTAAGAACAGGAAAAAACGTACCATTCTTTTTTGGACTATCTCATTAAGCTTGGTAGTGTCCTTGGCATAATAGGCTTTAGCTCTTACGAAAAAAGTTTATAATGCTTTCATTTATATGTATATTATAATATAACACTGAAAATCCTTTAAATTTACATGACTCCTGTTAGCTTTAGAGCTATTATTTACATGAATTCCTCACAAATTCCTGTAACAAGGGGTTTTGGGGTTTTGGGGTTTTGGGGAGATCGGAAGAG